TACAGAGCCTGCTTGGGATTCTCTCTGCTGCCTCTCCCATACTCATGCTCTCTCTCTCTCTCTCTCAAAATAAATAAATAAACTTAAAAAAAATAAGAGTCCCGAGAGGTACACTCAACAAGAAGACATTCTAAGGACTCACATTTTTTATAGTCAAAACTGAATATTTGGCTTGAAGTCCTGCTACACTATCCAACAGTGGAATCCTAGCAGTTGATCTTTTCCTTTATTTCCTTTTTACCTCATTATTTAAGATTAAATTATTTTATACTTTTACACCTCAGAGATCTTAGTGTAAGTAAAGACATTTAACGGTAAAAAAAAGGTCACAACCTGCTTGAAGGAAACAGGGAAAGTTATTCTGAGGCATCAAAAGTGAAAGAGGGAAAAAAGAGATTATAACACCTGGATAAGATATTCAGCTCTGAGTTTTTTTGGCAACTAAGACAAAAAGGAAGTACTTTAAATTACATAGTTTTCACTTTCTGACAAAAAAGAAAATATAACTTCATCTACAGGGGCAAAAAAATTTCCTGGAACTAACGCAGGCAATAACTCATCATGAGGTTTTTGTCAAAATGGAACTAAGGAAAAAGATCATAAGCTTTTGTTTCAGTTAAAAACAAAAAGGATTTTCTTTTAGTTTTGACAGTAAGTATATAATCACGGTTTAGTTATTTAATTCTTACCAGCCTCAGTTTTGTCTGTAAAAGTGGGGACAATGAGATTTAATTCTGTGATATTTAACTTAGCAACTTTTAAGCAAGTAATTTTGATCTAACACTAATTAATATAGAAACTAAAGACTCTCTATGGTCATGCCCCAGTGTCCTAGAATTGTCAACCTAGAATTATCTCATCCGTTTTCTTTTTTTCATTTAACACATACTTGGATGACTATGTAAAATGAGTGGGTGATATCATTTCATACTACAGGACTACCTAAAGTCTTTTTATTTTGGGGCACCTGGGTGGCTCAGTCAGTTAAGTGTCCAACTTTCACTCAGGTCATGATCTCACAGTGTGTGGGTTCGAACCCCATGCCGGGCTCTGTGCTGACAGCTCAGAGCCGGGAGCCTGCTTCGGATTCTGTGTCTCCCTCTCTCTGTGCCCCTCCCCCAGCTCACACTCTGTCTCTCTCTCTCAAAAATACACACACATTAAAAAAATTAAAGAAAAAAGTTTATTTTATTTTATTTTTAATGTTTATTTATTTTAAGAGAGAGAGAGACAGAGAGACAGAGAGAGATACAGAGACAAGGAGAGAGTAAATGGGTGAGGGAGAGAGCAAGAGCAGGCTCTGCACTGTTAGCAAGGGCCCCGATGCAGGGCTTGATCCCACAAACCATGAGATCATGACCTGAGCTGAAACCAAGAGCCAGACGCTTAACCCACTAAGCCACCCAGGCACCCCGGGACCATCTGAAGTCTTACTGGGGCCAGGGGACACTTAAAAAGTTAGAGCTAGAGTTGTCCAGTGCAAAAAGGCAATGAAAACATGTGGGTTTAAACAGAAAATTTAGCAGATTAAAGAAGTGACTCATAGAAGACAATTTCCCAGGGTCCTGCCTCAGGTGGGGGCAGTGCTCAGGTGCACTGTGTATGACTCGCAGAGTGGGCACCTCCTAGATTTTGTGCCCTAGGTGTCTTGGTTGCCTCATCTTAGTCTCAGCCCTGATTTTCTTTCTTTTTTTCGATTATTTAAAAAAATTAATATTTATTTATTTGAGAGAGGAAGAGAGACAGAGAACAAGCAGGGGGAGGGGCAGAGAGAGAGGGGCCACAGAAACTGAAACAGGCTTCAGCTCTGAGCTGTCAGCACAGAGACTGATTGCGAAGCTTGAACTCACAAGCTGTGAGATCATGACCTGAGCTGAAGTTGGACGCTCAGCTGACTGAGCCACCCAGGTGCCCCCTCAGCCCTGGTATTCTTATCCAACTGTTATCCATTGGCTATTCTAAGCATCTGGCCCATCAGAGCCATAAAATGGACAAATCAATTCTGCAGACTCTCTGCCTCATCGGGTAAATATTCAAGTGAATGGTCAAGCACTGACCTGGGTCACTTGTCATTCTCTTTCCATATAAGCAGTTTACACTTGCTTTTGCATCTGCATGTTCTATGCAAGTTGGTATTAAACTGTTGCTTTGAAAAAGGTGAAAAATTTGTATCAAGTTTAGTTTCTTAAGCTTTCATTTTTATTTTGCTTTGAAAAGAAAAAAGCTCCTTTTCTTTAGATGTTTGGCATTAAGAAAAGTTACAATGTTGGATTATTAAAATTGCCAAAATGAAGATCCTATCAAATGCATGAAAATGAAATGATAATTAATTTTATATATTATATTTATAATATGCATCGATGCACATTTCATTGGCGTCATATAGTAGTAGTTTCATTTTGCTAGTATTTAATTTCTATGTTTAAATATATTTTCTTCTAAACTTACTCAATTCTCAACCCGCTAGGTAGAACTTTGAGTTTTTATTTGGACTCATGAATAACGTGATTTCAGCACGATACATAAAATATATAAAGTTGCTCCTATCTTTTTCAGAGTGTAGCATAATCTTCTAAAAACAAATGAGAATCGCTATTCCAAAAAAAAAAATGCTTTTTATGCAGCTTTATGGAAAAAAAGTAGTTGGTATGGCTGAATGGACATCTGTAGTTACTATTTCTTAAATAGTCAATTTTGGAAAACATTTGTGAAAATCCACATAGTAAATGAATCATGTTTCCACAGGGAAGAAACAGCTATTTGAAGGCAGAATCTTAGGACACAAGTGGTAGTGGACGAGGCCTGGAAGCCGGGAAGAAAAGAGTAAGTATCTTCAGAGAAGCGCTTCCTAATCTAAGTCACCTGTTGTTAGACCTAGTTTTCTACACAAAAGTCATCTCTGAAATCTAGTTCAAGGACACCTTTGTATCCCTGTCACTCATCATATGAAATGCACCTTGGTGAGAACCTACTCCGAAGGCCATTTCTAAGACAGAGACAACCCTGCAATTCCCCGGACACCACTTCTAGGCTTATGCATCTTTGAATTGCTTCCAGTAATAATCCCCCACTTCATCTCTCTCACTAATATCCTTCCAATAATTTCTTCCCAAATATCTGATATATCTTTCCCAGACTAGGAAACAATGTCTTTGGGATACCCATAGACCAATGCTCTGTTTTGAGCATTTCTTTCTCTGTTAGGATAACAAAATGGTAAAAACATGGCCAAGACAAGGCAGTGATATGGAAAAAATGCACTGGATTAAAAAACTAGGCTTCATAATACCAACAGCTGGCAAGGATGCGGAGCAACTGGAACATGCATTCACTGCTGATGGGAATGGAAAATAGTTTGGCAGTTTCTTATAAAGTTAAACATACACTTTCCATAAGACCCAGAAATCCTGCTCCTAGGGTATTTATCAAGAGAAAAGAAAACTGACATTCACACCAAAACATGTACACAATCGTTTACAGCAGCTGTATGATTTACAGATGTCTCCAAATGGAAACAACTTAAATGTCCATCAACTGGTGAATGGAGTAACAAACTCTGGTATATACATACAACAGAATATTCCTCAGCAACAAAAAGGAATAAATGACTAATATTTGCAACAACACAGGTGTATCTCTTTTTAAATTTTTGAGAGACAGAGAGAGGGGTAGAGAGAGAGCTAGAGTGCACGCACGCGCGAGAGAGAATGAGTGTGGGAGAGGCAAAGAGCAAGGGAGACACAATCTGAAGCAGGCTCCAGGCTCTGAGCTGTCAGCACAGAGCCAGACGATGCAGGGCTCTAACTCACAAACCATGAGATCATGACCTGAGCCTAAGCCAACTGGGCCACCCAGGTGCCCCCTGGGTATATCTTTATTATGGTAAGTGAAAAAAGTCAACCTGAAAAGACTGATACATTTATACATTCATTTATACAACATTCTGGGAAAATGTAATATTTTTTGTTGGAAAAGGTAAAACTACAAGGACAGAAAATAGATAAGTGGTTGCTAGGACTAGAGTTGGGGAGAAGGGTCAATACAAAAGGGGCATGAGTGAATTTCCTGAAGTGATGAAACTATTTTATATATTGATTATTGTAATGGTTATGAAACTGGGTGTGTCAATCAAAAATCACAGAAATGTATGCTTAAATGGGCATGGATTTTACTGTATGTATACTGTACTTCAATAGGTCTGACTAAAAAAACAAAAAAAATGGGATTATCTCTTAGTTACTAACTGGCGTTGAGCAAGCCACTTGAAACACATTTCTCCTTTGGGCAAGCCACTTGACATTCATTTCTCTTTTTATAAAATGAGGAAATTACACTAGCTGTAAAAGATTTTTGGTGAGGCATAAGAATAAAAAATCCTTTATGGGGGCACCTGGGTGGCTTAGTCGGTTAAGCGTCCGACTTTCGCTTAGGTCACGTTCTCGCGGTTTGTGGGTTCAAGCCCCGTGTCGGGCTCTGTGCTGACTGCCAGCTCAGAGCTTGGAGCCTGTTTCAGACTGTGACTCCCTCTCTCTCTGACCCTCCCCTGCTCACGCTGTCTCTCTCTCTCCTAGAAAAACAAAAAAATTCTTTATGGACTCTAAAGTTCAACACAAATATTACACACTAGGCATACATATAGTATACGGCTAATACAATGATGAATAAGACAGAGGTACGCTAAGAAGATATACTGTCTAGTGAGAAAGAGATAAAACAATTATTAAATAATGTGGAAATTTAGTAACAGATATATGAACAAGGCAATAAGGGGTCAACAATAAGAAGCATTCCAGAAATAAGAATTAACCTAAGGAATAAAGTATAAGTTAATTCATAATGAATACCATTTATCACATGTTCAATATAAAGGACCAGATCACAGTGAGAAACAAACATGAGAAGTCATTAACACACATGGACAACTGGGATACAGTAATCTTAACCCAACATGGGCTTTGAAAAAGCCTAAAGTAAAAATTATGACAAAATGGAAAAAGTACCTCACGATGATTTAGAAGTTGTTCTAAATCTAATGCCATTTGATTCTTCATCTGTAGTAACGCTGACTTTTCTTTATTCAAATTGCTGGAAAAAAAACCCCAAGTTTTAAAAAGTCATCATATTGGTGTAAATTTAATAAATAGAAAAAAGCAAAAGGCTAGAGACAAATCTGATGGCATGAATTAAAAATAAATTAAATTTATACTCTATAAAGATATCTATCAGACCATCCACTATAATGTTTAATTTAACCAACAGCTAGCTATTTTCTAAGAAGATGTTTTCTTTTAATAATCATTTGACAGTGCAAATGAGATGGCTTCTGAGAAGTCTTTCCTGCCTAGTAGGGGTATACAATTTGTATTTTAAAGATGATTATTTACTCCTGAAATGTAAAAAGATGAAGTGGGACTTATATAAAAGGTAAAGTACGTATGGGCAAAATAGTCTAAGTAGAAGAACATATTAATATTTTAAAAGATAAATATTTGAGGCATGATTTATATTGTCTGGAGTTTTATTATTCAACATATAAAAATTAATTAGAAATTTTCAATGAAATACTCTTTGAAAGCCACTGGAATGAATCTATTCAGCACTATAATGAGAATGAAGAAAAGCAACAGTGAATCAAAACAACAAAATCTGTGAAGGTAAAGCTAGTGAGGATTGTTTTGCTGAACAGGTAAGATGTTTTAAGTTATCCTTTAAGAAAATGGAAAGCCATCAATTTTTAAATTAGGCAGAAGTTTTGTTTTTGTTTTTGGTTTTGTTTTAATTCAAGGAATAGGAGTAGGTATTCTGGAAGAACTGGTAATTCCAAGGACTTAAGAGGAAAAAGCTCACATTCTCTTTTTTCCTAGTAACTGTGAACTTCCCGAAGGAAGCACCATAGTTTGTTCTCTGAGAGAAAGACAAGATGCAATTCTGACTTCTGTTTCCAACTGTGCCACTGACCATAAAGCACAAAACACATCACACGACTCAGCCTCAGTTTTCACAGCTATAAAAGTGGAAAATAATACTCATGTATGTCGAAGGGATATATGAGTTATCAAATGAAATGATTATATAAAGACCTGAACACATAAAACCTGACATAAATGCTACATGGTATTACTAATTTAGATAAAAAACAAGTATTACAGAAAAACAGTAATTAAATGCCATACAGGTTAGCGATGTAGCAGAAAAACAGATTTGACTTTCAGAATTAAGCATCGGAGATCCTATTAAGCCTCGGAGTTGAAAAGAACTAAATGGTATAATGTAACTGAGTGTGAGATTCTGCCAGAGTTCTCCAAAGCCTGGTAGAGATCAGATGTTTCTGTAACTGCTGAATTTGAATCTATCTGTAGCTAGAATCACCTTGAAGATAAAACATGTTTCAAAATTAAAATAAACATCCAGTATCACAGGACTAGGATTTTTCAAGGAACAGAAATGTGTTAATGTTCATATGCACGCATACATGTTAATGTTCATAAACATGTTACAAACACATTCTATGTAAACATACACTCACATGCAGTACACACACACACACACACACACACACACACACTCAAATACCAACACGCCCTTAAATAAAATGTAGTGCAACAGGAATGGGGGAATGTTGATGTAATAAAGGGTTTTGACTGGATAATTCGTTAGAAATCCTTTACATGTAGTGTTTTATTTTTTTTTTCAGAATAAAGTAAATATTCCATATTTAAGTAGCAAAAATGGGGTGCCTGGGTGGTTCAGTTGGTTGAGCATCTGACTTTGGCTCAGGTCATGATCTCACAGCTTGTTAGTTCAAGCCATTCATTGGGCTCTGTGCTGACAGCTCAGAGCCTGGAGCTTGATTTGGATTCTGTGTCTCTCTCTGCCCTCCCCCCACCCAGCCCCCCGCCCCTGCTTGTGCTGTTGCTGTCTCTCTCTCTCTCTTTCACAAATAAGCATTAAAAAAAAATAATAGCAAAAACAACTTTATAATACAGAATAAAAGCTAAGTGGATAAACTGGTTTACAGGGCAAGTCTGTTCTATCTGCAAGACGTGGGTTTATGACAAACAGTACAGACTCCTCAGACAATGCTTGGGTATGTATTTTCAAAGTCTCAGCCTTCTCTATAATATACTCTTAAACCACGAGGGAGGCCATCTTCAACATGTGGGTCTCTAAAACTGAATACGATGATTATTATACTCTGTGTTCTTCCAGTATGTATGTAATTACTCAAACGAAGTTTAGTCTCCATAAGGCACATTTCACAACAGTGGAAATTTACCTTTAAAAATACAAAGCTTCCATGTGTGACTCACAAAGCAACTACAAAACAAATCTCCTTATAAGCACATCTATCGTGAATGGCATATTACACCCATAATTGTTTAGTTCACCGTTAATTATTACTCAGAAATTCATGTTTATGGCTCTGTGTCACCTGCTATATGAAAACATATTCCTGATATATTCTTCTTTAACTTCCTGGATCAATATACCCTGACGGCTAAGTTGTTTTTTCTTCTTAAACTACTAGTTAAGAATAAACTGAGAATTGACAACGGGGAAAGGAAATTTATGCTAATTATTCTCTTTCTATGCTTCCTTCAGGTCTGAACTATAGATCAAACTATATAACCCAGACTGTCTCTTGTGGCTTGGTAGAGGAGAGTTTAACAGTACTACTTGCAGAAGGGATTATTACTTTAATGATAGGGGGATTTAATAATGAGATTTCAAATGTTAGCTTTTAATGTGTTTATAATGATTTCATTTTAGTACATATTTACTCTAACCTTTCTACACACTGAATATATAGAGCTAAATTTGCAAATCGTGGGTGTGATATAGTGGTATTGTTTTATTTCCTAAGAAAATGATACAATTATTCAGTTCTTTAAAGAGACTTCATTGTATAAACTAGAGAAATATTTAAAAGGTAATCATTTAACTGAAACCATAAAACTCCTAAAAGAAAACATATGCAATAAACTCTTGGACACTGGTCTTAGCACTTATTTTTTTGGATCTGTCTCCTTAGGCAAGGGCAACAAAAGCAGATATAAGCAACTGGGACTATATCAAACTAAAAAGCTTTGAAAGTATAAAGGAAACTATCAACAAAACAAAGAGGTAACCTACAGATAGATGAATGGATAAAGAAGATACAGTGTGTATACACACATCCACATACATGGAAATATTAGTCTGCTATAAAAAAGAATGAGATCTTGCCATCTGCAAAACATGGGTAGATGTAGATGGTATTATGCTAAATGAAATAAGTCAGATAGAGAAATGCATAATTTCACTTACACGTGGCATCTACAAAACAAAACAAATGAACAAACCAAACAAAACAGAAAGACTCATGAATACTAGTAAAAATACTCATAAGAACTGGTGGTTGCCAAAGGGGAGGGGGCAGGGATTTGGATAAACTAGGTGAAGGTGATTGGGTGGTACAAACTTCCAGCTATAAAAGTAAGTAAGTCATGCGGCTGAAACGTACAGCATAGGGACTATCGTCATTAATACTGTAATAAGTTTGTACGGTGACAGATGGCAGCCACACCATGGTGAGCATTTTGTAATGTATATAAATGTCTAATCCTTATGTTGTATACCTAAAACTAATATAATATGGCATGTCAACTATACTTCAATTTAAAAAATAATCAATTAATGTAAATATTACTTAAAATTAAAATCAACACGCAGCAAACACACAGCAAAAAAGAACAGACATTTTCAAGGAACAACCACTCAGTAATCTTCTCGAATGGGTCATTTAATGTTTACATTTCAAAGTAATGAAGGACAAAAGGAAGGAAAGTAATATTTACCGAGCTTCCCCATGTGCCAGAAGCTTTATATATGTCATTTCACTTAATTTTCACTTCTAACCCTTGATGTTCACGCTAATATCTGTATTTTACAGGCACATTTACCATGACAAAAGAAACAAGGCTGATGTGTATTCAAAGCCCAGGATAATTCCATTACATCTGAAATGTCATCAGCTCAGAGGAGGAGTGATGGGAGATAGACTGCTGTATCTGACTCGTTGATTGGGCTATTTTTATGGTATTTTATTCATGTCATGAAGGTACATTTAACAGCATGTCAAAGGCCATAATTAAACTACTGAAAGCACCTTAATTTTTCACATTAGAAGGTAGCATAGCTACTTCAATTAAGAGCAATGTTTCATATCCTATGAAATACTAGTTCAGAATCTATTAAAATATACAGTAAATTTATGAAACAGCTTTAAAGGACTCAGATTTAAGCACAAAAATATTTTTATAGTTAATTTCATAATTGGCATAGTGTTTAAGATTACTGTTGCTGTTATTAAGTGTGAGAAAGAAGCCCACTGCACCAATCAAAGGTGGGATGCGGAGACTTGGAGCACAGCAAAGTGAGGCCTTAATCAACGTTCTTGTGAGAGCAGGTGTCTGAAGGACAGGCTCACTCAGGGCGGTTACAGCAGGCAATTTATCTCCTAGTGTGAAGTCCCTCCCCTGACTCCTCACTGGCTGGGTACTACAGAGGTTACAGCCTTACCCAGAAGTCGCTTATGCCCATGTAAGGCCGAAAGTAGTCTGACTGGAATAAATGTACATTCCTTGAGGTGACACAGAGACTTCAGTTCTTTTGTGCATGCTCATTGCAAAGCTGGCGAGAAACAAGCCCATGAAATGGAGAGGGCAAGGAGAACCGGAAGTGAAGTGTCTAAGGGTTTGGGACTCCACTGTGTGTGTAGGGGGGGGGAGGGTTCAAACATACTTCCCATAGATTGTAAACTTATTGTTAACTAGACAGCACAGCTTTTTTTTTTTAAATATTTTTATTTATTTCTAGGAGAGAGAGAGACAGCGTGAGCAGGGGAGGGTCAGAGAGAGAGGGAGTCACAGACTGAAACAGGCTCCAGGCTCTGAGCTGGCAGTCAGCACAGAGCCCGACGCGGGGCCCGAACCCACGAACCGCGAGATCATGACCTAAGCGAAAGTCGGACGCTTAACCGACTAAGCCACCCAGGCGCCCCTAGACAGCACAGCTTTTATTTGGTATTTCTGAAAATGAATCCTCTCACTTCTCATATTAAGGGAGTCCCAATTTTTGTCAAAATTCAAAATATTTTGATGTTATTTCTTATTTTTAAGGTTATTCTCAACACAAAAATTTGTTACATGTAAGACTAATACTAAAAATAGAAAGTATTTATATAGCATTCATGCACTGAGATTATGTCATTTAATCCTCAGAATGACTGTATGAGTGCTAGTGTTGCTAGTGCTAGAGTACTACACATCAGTTCATAGATGAAAACTGGCTGTACTGTCCTATAACATAGCCATTAGCTGGCCATAGGTGGTAATTAAAATGAAAAGTAATTTAATTAAAATAAAAAATTTAGTTATTCATGGGGCTACCATACTGGACAGTGCAGATATGGAAAATATTTACAGAGAGTTCTACTGGACAATGGAGGTTCAGAGAGTTTAAATGACTTGCTCTAATTAAAAACTAAGTACTGAGCTAGATCTGAACCCATGCAACCTATCTGTAGAGGCTGTATTCCCTTTTAAACTAATGTTTTTTAAAAAACAGGTTTATGTGGGATATTTTGAAAGAAGAGAGAAAATATAACAAAACCACATGCATCCATCACCTAGCTTCAACAATTGTCAATTCATTAAAGCTCCACTTTTAACTACTCTTCTACACTTTTCTTTTTTTGCTTCTCTTCCTTAATTACATTAGTTAATGTAAAATTATCCCTTATTCAGAATAGAACATAGGGAGGCAGTATAACATAATGGTTAAGAGTATAGAATTGGAAAGCAGGTAGAGATGGATTCAAATTTTGGCTCTACCACCAAACTGTATGTTCTTAGATAACAAGTTATTTAATTTCTCTAGGCTGAATTTGTTTATCTTAATAGCTTCCTCCGATAGCTAGCTGTTATTTTCTCTGTATTAAAGATTTTCAGCTCTCTTAATTCTTAGCTAAATAAATATGCAAATAAACTTATTCAAAGGTAACTGTGAAAGGTAATTTTTCCACAGGGCCCTTTAGGTGTTCACTCCAAGATTAAAAGGTAAAAAAAGGTTGTATACAAAATTTCAAATATAACATAAATATATAATATGGAAAGAAAAAGTTCTATTTAAGGTTCTTCCCTCAATTCCCTTAAGATAATGAAGTGCCCAGGTGAGCGATAAAACATAATTTTTATTGCCCCTAGTAGCTATTGATAGAATTGTTTAATTGATTGAATTATTTAACAATTTGATAATTTGACTTCTTATTCAATAGATTTAATTAATACTGGTTATACATATTCTAAATGTAATTTTTAACTTCAAAATTAATCCAAAAATAAATTCTTATTTATATTGACATTTTAAAGCATAAATGTGATTTAAAATTATTTTATCCTATCATCTTAAAATTAAAAAAGATCAGGAATAAAGTTTTGGACCAATTATTTTGGTGGGATAGAAACAAGAGAAGGTGATTATTCTGATTTATCAAAAAGAACACCCACTCATACTTTAGAGTTAATTACCAGTAGTTTTATACTTTGGAAATCTGAATTTAATAACTACTTTCTCACTGTTTTCCAATTCCTTTAAAAATTTCTATTCCCATCTAATTCTCTGCTTCTATATTTATGAATTGGTTAATAATTTATCTAAATTAGTCTAATAACCTCAAAATCCAATAACAACTAAGCCAACAAACCAATAATCCATGAGTTAAAATCTCTTTCTTTCTGTATAACATCATTCTTTTACTCCAATTTAAAATGACTGAAAGGATTATACAGATGAACAGGTAAAGAATTTGAATGATTATTAAATCGAGCAAGTCTTTTGAATAAGGTGTCATGTAAGAAAACAATTTAAATTTAAGGGAGTGAAAGGGATTTATTTACATTTAGGTAATTCATGGGTTACTTCCTATAAAGAGTCAGGGGAAGAAAAGCCTAAAAAATTCTTGGGCCAAGTCAACAGAATCTAAGCAAATGTGTATATTTTATCTGTTTAAAAAGTTATTTTGATTCCACAAGTGGCATCTGGTTATGTTCTTCCTCTCGCGTTGGTCAAACCCCCTCCCATTAAAGAGTGCTGGGGGAAGGAGGAAAGGACAGCCGCTTGCCTCCTGCCCTGGGTGCTGTGCTGCTAAGTGTAGCATTGTTACTTCCAGGCTAAGACTTCTGATCATAAGGTGAGACCTGAACACCTAATGTGATAGGACCTAAGCTTCTCTAAGATAAATTACCTTTAAGACCATGTTCATAATTTAAATTTTCTTCTTCACAATTTACAAACTTAATTCATGGATAGCAGTATTATGTTTATATTGCCTTTATAATTAAAAAAAATTAATAGATGATTTTACCTGACATCTTTCTCAAGTTGTGTAATATGCTCTTTCAGCGAATCGATCTTAGAATCTCTCTGACGCACTGATTCAATGAGATATCTGTAAGGTTGCTCAGTCTGGTTTAACAGAGAATTGGCCCTGCCAAGCTAGAGAAAAACAGATTTCATGAAAAACTAAAAAATTTTATAAGAAACTAAGATTATTCAAAAAGTTCTAGCATTGGTACAGTACACAAAACTCTCTTACATGAGTTACTCAGAAAAGCTTTTCCTATTTAACTTTGAAAGTTTTCAAAATTATTAATCAATAGAACTATTCATTATAATAATATGTAAATTAAAATAATTTTAAATAAAATATGAATTGTTACCAATTTTAGGGATGGGTCACCTAAATGTTTTTGCCATTTGTTGGTTCGAGAAGATATGTAACATAAAATTTATCTCCTTTAATAAGTATCCATTAGCTAAAAATAAAAATCTTTTATTTGAGCTTTAATTCTATTAAACATAATATAATGACATTACAATTTAGCATTTTTTTATGTCTTCATATTTCCTTCCATCTTTATTTCTAAAATTGGTAATTTATGTAGTTCAACCCCTAGATATAATGAAGTTTTTTTAACAAAAATTGTAGGGGCACCTGCGTGGCTCAGTTGGTTGAGTGCCCGACTCTTGATTTTGGCTCAGTTCATGATCCCAGCGTCATGGGATTGAGCTCCTCAGTGTTGAGCTTCAGATTCTCTCTCTCTCCGGGCACCTGGGTGGCTCACTTGCTTAAGCATCTCACTTTGGCTCAGGTCAAGCTCTCATGGTTTGGACAGTTGAACTCTACATTGGCTCTGTGTTGACAGCTCAGAGCCTGGAACCTGCTTTGGATTCTGTGTCTCTCTCTCTCTCTCTGCCCCTCCCACACTCATGCAAGGTCTCTCAAAAATATATAAACATTAAATAAAACTTAAAAAAAATAAAGATTCTCTCTCCCCTCTCCCCACTCTCACTAAAAAAAAAATTGTAGTTACAATGTAAAGAATATAAAAGTTACCAGCTTAACCATTTTATAGTACACAATTCAGTGGCATTAAGTACATTCATACTGTTGTATGACCATCTAACATAGACTAATATCTATTTCTAGAACATTTTTATCAACCCAATGGAAACTCTGCATCCATTAAACAAAAACACTACCTGCACCCCCCCCCCCAACATTAGAAACCTCTACTATTTGTCTCTATGAATTTGCCTATTCTAGATCTATAAGGGGAATCATGTAATATTTGTCATTTTATGCCTGCCTATTGCACTTAATGTAATGTTTTCAAGGTCCATCCATGCTGTACAATGTATCAGAACTTCATTCCTTTCTATAGCTAAATAATATTCCATTGTGTGTTTATAGTACATCTTGCTTATTTATTCATCTTTTGATGAATACTTGAGTTGTTTTCACTTTTTAGCTATTTTAACTAATGTTGCTACAAACAGTGGTATACAAATATCTGAGACCCCACTTTCAATTCCTTTGAATATCTGCTAGGAGTGGAGTGAAACTACTGGGTCATATGGTAATTCTATAGTTAAGTTTTTAAAAAGTTAAAGAAAAATTTTTTTATATTTAACTTCTTGAGGAACAGGCAACTGTTTTCCACAGTGGCTGCATCATTTTATGTTCTTATTAACAATGCACTTGGTTCTAACTTTCTCCACATCCTCACCAATACTATTATTTCATGTGCCTATCGGTCATTGTGTATCTTCTTTGGACAAATGTCTAGTCAAGTCTTTTGCCCATAATTTCAATTAGGTTGTCTGCTTTTTGTTGTGGAGTTATGGAAGTTCTTTTTTTTTTTTTTTTTTTTTTAAATTTTGACATGTTTATTTATTCATTTTTGAGAGAGAGAGAACAAGGCAGGGAGGGGCAGAGAGAGAGAGAGGGAGACACAAAATATGATGCAGGTTCCAGGCTCTGAGGTGTCAGCACAAAACCCGACGTGGGGCTTGAACTCACACACCATGAGATCATGACCTGAGCCGAAGTTGGATATTTAATGGACTGATCCACCCAGGCATCCCTGGGAGTTCTTTTATGTTCTGGGTATTAAACCCTTATTAGACATATGATTTGCAAATATTTTCTCCCATTCTGTGGGTTGTCTTTTCACTCTTTTATGTCCTTTGATCACAAAGTCTTTAATTTTGATGATGTTCAACTTACCTATTTTTTCTTTTGTTGCTTATACTTTTGGTATCATTTTATTTTTTAATATTTATTTGGAGAGAGAGAGAGAGAGCGAGCGGTAGTGGAGAAGCAGGGAGAGGAGACAGAGAATCCCAAGTTGGTATCATTTTTAAGAAATAATTGCCAAGCCCAAGACCATGAACATTTTCTCCTATGTTTTCTCCTAGAGTTTTATATTCTTAGCTCTGAAGCTTACATCTTTGATCCAATTTGAATTAATTTTTATAGACAGTGTAGGATAAGGATTCTATTTCAAAGTTTGACATGTAGATATCCAGTTTTACCAGCACCATTTGTTGAAAAGACCATCTTTTCTCCACTGAATGTCATAGCAACCTTGTTGAAAAACCTTTGACTGTATATGTAAGGGTTTAGTTTCAGACTCTCTATTTTATTTCATTAGTCTTATCTATGCCTTATTCTTATGCCAGTACAACAGTGTTTTGACCACTGTAGCTTTGTGGTACATTTTAAAACCTGGAAGTGTGAGTATTCCAACTTTGATTTTCCTTTTCAAGATTGTTTTGGTCACTCAGGATCCTTTAAAATTATATAAGAATTTTAGGATGGGGTTTTCTATTCAAAAAATGCTGTTGGGATTTTGATAGGGATTATACTGAATCTATAAATATTGTTTTGGGCAGTACTGTGACCTTAATAATATTAGGTCTTCTAATCTATAAACATGGGAGGTCTCTCTGTAAGAGTGAGGGGTGGGGAAGGGAGTATTTTATTACCCAGAACAAAAATGCCACAAAATTCCTACTTTATAATCTTAAAATATTCTTTGGGAATAAAATTCTAGCACTATACATGTTTAAATATTTCCCCCCCCTCCCTTCATAGTTCCTAACAAGTTCAATGGAGGCTAAAGATTTGCTCTTTTTCTGGGACAATAAATTATTTTTTTTCTCATGTGAGTTACATTTACAAGACTTATTTATTTTTAAAAACATTTTATTTATTTTTGAGAGACAGAGAGAGACAGTGTGTGAGCAGGGGAGGGGCAGAGAGAGACTGAGACAGAGAACCTGAAGCAGGCTCCAGGCTCTGAGCTGTCAGCACAGAGCCCATCCTGGGGCTCGAACTCACAGACCACGAGATCATGACCTGAGCTGAAGTTAGATGTTTAACTGACTGAACCACTCAGGTGCCCCTACAAGATTTATATATTTTTAGATCTAAACATATCATTTATTTTGGTACTGCAATTCTTGGTTTTCTACCCACATAAAAGAAATGAGTGACTAGCAGCCTAGAAGTTGAAGGTGTAGAGAATAGCAGGATGGGTATAAAGGAAGGTACAGTGGAAGGCAGAAGAATCAAAGGCAGAAACAATCATTGTTAAAATGATCAGCTGTGAGGTCCAGGTGGGTAAGGAGGAGAGTGAAGCCAAAAGGTGGTTGACCAGCTAGCTGTTGCAGAGTATTTGCTTGCAGACTGAGGACTACTTTGTAAAAGTTATTTAAATGATTTGACTAAATTATATTAAAAATTTTCCTTTTGGTTACATTAGCCCAGGAAAAGAAGTTCCTCAAAGATAAGGAAATGAAGAAAGAAAAGAAGACCTCATTTTCTGAACATGATTCATTACAAAAAGTAATGCCATAAAGAAAAAAAATACCATGAATATTTTCTATAGTTTGGGTTTTAGTGTCCTTTTTCCTTGTTTTGGTAACCATTCTTTTAAATCTATTATAATGTCACTGGAATCTTTATTACTTACTCTACTAAATTACTTTATGAACATTCAAATATGCAGGTGGACAAAAATAAAACTGAGTTCTACTTACCTGTATAACCAGTTTCACTAGTCAATTAAATCAAACAATTGCCTTGACTTTGTTTTCACGGAACTGACCTTAACTGAATAAACTGAACTGACAAGTTGCTTTGTGTTTCAAAGTGCAGAATAGTCACGGTGGGTGGGGTGGGGGGCTGGGGTGCAACATGAGGGAAGCATTAAGGGCACTTACAAATTGCAGTAAGCTGTAGCCTAGAATGTGCTGTGTTTGAAACTTACCAGATCTAAATTCAATTGCATTAAAAGTATAACAGCAGTCATTAGTCTTAATTATTTTAGTGCCATTTTTTTCATCACAGAAATTACATATGTTAGGTTTTAGTACTGTAAACAAAATTAAGGGCACCCAAAGTCTTACTTTTAAAAGGTATCTCTAATATACAAACTATAAATCCCTCCCTCTCTGGATAATAAAAATAACTATAGTGCTGTCAGTTTTAAGAACAAATTTCTTTATAAACTTGTAAGATTCTAAATCCCAAAATTTGTTTTAAGTCCTCAGGAAAAATACATGTTTGTCAATGAAAAGTGATGCTAATACCTATTTTTGAAATAATCTAATTTGACAGAATTTAATTCCTCCAGTGTGATTTTAAAAAGTCTTTCTGTAACCATAATAATTAGTATTAAAAGTTTCACAATTACTTACTTTGCCTATTGTTAGTAATCTTTTCCTTATAGGAAAACCTTAGTAATTAATGACTCAAGAATCATATACGCAATAAATGACTCAGGAATAAAACCATGACACAACATTTTACAGAGTTGTTATTCTTCCTTTGTTTCAATAAATTGTACATATGATTCAGAGAAAAGCAACACCTGATTAAAACATAATTATATATATATATATATATATATTTTTTTTTTTTTTTTGAGAGAGAAAGAGAGAGAGCACATGTGGGTGAGGGGCTGAGAGAGGGAGACAGAGAATCCCAAAAAGGTTCTGGACTGTCAGTGCAGAGCCCATCATGGGGCTCAATCCCATCAACTGTGAGATCATGACTTGAGCAGAAATCAAAAGTTGCTCAACTGACTGAGACACCCAGGCGTCCCCAGAACTGTTATTCCTCTTTTGTTTCAAAAAATTATACATAT